GGATTGTAAGTGAGTCATTTAGTGTTGTAAGTGAGTTATATAGTATTGTAAGTGAGTTATATAGTGTTGTAGGTGAGTTATATAGTATTGTAAGAGTTATATAGTATTGTAAGAGAGTTATATAGTATTGTAAGTGAGTTATATAGTATTGTAAGTGAGTCATTTAGTGTTGTAAGTGAGTTATATAGTGTTGTAAGTGAGTTATATAGTATTGCGAGTTATATAGTATTGTAAGTGAGTTATATAGTATTGTAAGTGAGATATGTAGTATTGTAAGGGAGGTATATAGTGTTGTAAGTGAGTTATATAGTATTGTAAGTGAGTCATATAGTGTTGTAAGTGAGTTATATAGTATTGTAAGTGAGTTAGATATCGTATATGGTGTCACTTGAGAATATACGAGTATGCTGTGTGTGTGTATGTGTGTGTGTGTGTGTGTGTGTGTGTGTGTGTGTGTTTTTTTTTTTAGGAAGTAATTAAGTGACTATAGTAAAGTTGAGTGCTTGTTTCTCGTGTTGTGTCCGCCGAGGCTCGTAGTTTAACATTGTCTGAAGTTATCCCTAGCCTGATAAAATACACTGGTAAATATTAACCTAAGTTACAGGGGCCATTAGCACAGGATAGTCAAAACCTGTATGGGATAGTAATTGTGGCTCTGTTTTTCTGTTTTACTGTTGAAACAATATTACACATTTCGTTTCTCTTATATATCATTAATGGAACAGTTTGGTTTGAGGAAAAATATTAATTTTTTTTCAAATGTGTTTTTTTTTATTTTATTGTATTTTTTAATGTGTGTGTGTGTGTGTGTGTGTGTGTGTGTGTGTGTGTGTGTGTGTGTGTGTGCAGTGTTGACTATGTTACTGGGTTGGTTGTCTATCGGTCGGTGTGAGTCAATACCAGTAGTATAACTCTATCACCACCAGCTTGTAGTGTGAGTCAGTACCAGTAGTATAACTCTATCACCACCAGCTTGTAGTGTGAGTCAGTACCAGTAGTATAACTCTATCACCACCAGCTTGTAGTGTGAGTCAGTACCAGTAGTATAACTCTATCACCACCAGCTTGTAGTGTGAGTCAATACCAGTAGTATAACTCTATCACCACCAGCTTGTAGTGTGAGTCAGTACTAGTAGTATAACTCTATCACCACCAGCTTGTAGTGTGAGTCAGTACCAGTAGTATAACTCTATCACCACCAGTTTGTAGTGTGAGTCAGTACCAGTAGTATAACTCTATCACCACCAGCTTGTAGTGTGAGTCAATACCAGTAGTATAACTCTATCACCACCAGCTTGTAGTGTGAGTCAGTACTAGTAGTATAACTCTATCACCACCAGCTTGTAGTGTGAGTCAGTACCAGTAGTATAACTCTATCACCACCAGTTTGTAGTGTGAGTCAGTACCAGTAGTATAACTCTATCACCACCAGCTTGTAGTGTGAGTCAATACCAGTAGTATAACTCTATCACCACCAGCTTGTAGTGTGAGTCAGTACTAGTAGTATAACTCTATCACCACCAGCTTGTAGTGTGAGTCAGTACCAGTAGTATAACTCTATCACCACCAGTTTGTAGTGTGAGTCAGTACCAGTAGTATAACTCTATCACCACCAGCTTGTAGTGTGAGTCAATACCAGTAGTATAACTCTATCACCACCAGCTTGTAGTGTGAGTCAGTACTAGTAGTATAACTCTATCACCACCAGCTTGTAGTGTGAGTCAGTACCAGTAGTATAACTCTATCACCACCAGTTTGTAGTGTGAGTCAGTACCAGTAGTATAACTATCACCACCAGCTTGTAGTGTGAGTCAGTACCAGTAGTATAACTCTATCACCACCAGCTTGTAGTGTGAGTCAGTACCAGTAGTATAACCCCTATCACCACCATCTTGTAGTGTGAGTCAGTACTCAGTAGTAGAATCCCCATCACCACCAGCTTGTAGTGAGTCAGCACTGTAGTGAGCAATTATCACCACCAGCTTGTAGTGTGAGTCAGTACCAGTAGTGAGGCATTGACTATCACTTCACCAGCTTGTGTGTGAGTCAGTACCAGTATAACCTATCACCACCATCTTGTAGTGTGAGTCAGTACCAGTAGTAGAGTAATCCTATCACCACCAGCTTGTAGTGTGAGTCAGTACCAGTAGTATAACACTATCACTCACCAGCTTGTAGTGTGAGTCAGTACTCAGTAGTATAACACTATCACCACTGAAATAGTGTGAGTCAGTACCAGTAGTATGTAACTCTATCACCACCATCTTGTAGTGTGAGTCAGTACCAGTAGTATAATCCCTATCACCACCAGCTTGTAGTGTGAGTCAGTACCAGTAGTATACCATCACCACCAGCTTGTAGTGTGAGTCAGTACCAGTAGTATAACCATATCACCACCAGCTTGTAGTGTGAGTCAGTACCAGTAGTATAACCATATCACCACCGGCTTGTAGTGTGAGTCAGTACCAGTAGTATAACCATATCACCAACAGCTTGTAGTGTGAGTCAGTACCAGTAGTATAATCATATCACCACCGGCTTGTAGTGTGAGTCAGTACCAGTAGTATAACCATATCACCAACAGCTTGTAGTGTGAGTCAGTACCAGTAGTATAATCATATCACCACCGGCTTGTAGTGTGAGTCAGTAACAGTAGTATAATCATATCACCACCAGCTTGTTATAAACACCCAAACTGGCCTCGCAATATTCACACCACCGCAGGGGATATATTGCTATCCTGCCTCGAACTATCTTGTGGTGGAGGCCAGGCTTGTGTGTGTGTGTGTGTGTGTGTGTGTGTTGGAGGCCCCTGCCAGCCCTGACATGCATATGTGTTGGAGTGCTTCCTGCTGGTGGTGGTGATGCAGGTGATGCAGGTGCCCACACACACACACACACACACACGCGCGAGTGCGATGACAAGCACCAATAAATAAGTAACTAACCCTCTGATCAAATCTTATCGCGATAACAGAACTACTTGGCCCCCTGACGCCCAGCTTATCAATGGGAGGAGGAAGCCTGCTGGGTCAACATCACACACTTCCGCTCAGTATCACATCCGGCTCCTGGTACAGCATTTCCGGATATCTTTGTATCTTGTCTTCTGTGTCCTGTTTTTATTATTTTCTGCCTCCTGTCTTCATTGGCTTCCTTGTCTTGTGTTCTCTGCTTCCTGTGTTCGTTGTCTTGTGTTCTGTGTGTTTCTTGCCTGTTGTGTCCTGTGTTCATTGTCTTCTCTGTTCCTTGCCTTGTGTTCATTGTCTCCTGTGTTCACTGACTCCTGTTCACTGTGTTTATTGTCTCTTGTTCACCGTGTTCATTGTCTTCTCTGATTCGTTATTCCTTCGTGTTTATGTTTCATCACTCACCTTGTGTTCACTTTGTAGAGCCTGGTGTTTATGATGGCTTTTTAAAAGTTTAATTACCTCTTCTTCCACCTCCTCCTTCCCTCCTTCTCTTTCCATCTTTCTCCTTCCTTTCCTTCTTTCTCCTCCTCCTCCTCATTCCTTCCTCCTCTTTCCATCTTTCTCCTTCCTTTCCTTCTTTCTCCTCCTCCACCTCCTCATTCCTTCCGCCTCTTTCCATCTTTCTCCTTCCTTTCCTTCTTTCTCCTCCTCCTCCGTTTTCCCTTCTCTCTTTCTGCTCTTCCCTGTATCTTTTGTTTACACGCCTGCACTCAATGTTCACACACCCACACTCAATGTTCAAAAACCTACACCCACTGTTCAAAAACCCACACTCACTGTTCATACACCCACACTCACTGTTCATACACCCACACTCAATGTTCACACCCACACTCAATGTTCATACACCCACACTCAATTTTCATACACCCACACTCAATGTTCAAAACCTACACTCACTGTTCAAAAACCCACACTCATTGCTCATACACCCACACTCAATGTTCATACGCCCACAATCAATGTTCATACACCCACACTCAATGTTTACACACCCATGCTCAATGTTCATACACCCACACCCAATGTTCATACACCCACACTCAATGTCCACAAACCCACATTCAATGTTCAAATACTCATATGTATTTCTAAAACAGGTGTTAATTCTGAAATTCAGCTTGAAATCTGTGAGAGACACTTAGGTCCGGAAACTCCGATTCACGCCCTGAAGCTGAAACTCATTAATGCTGAATCTTGAAATGAGGCTCTGAAATCCATTAGTGGCGAGGCTCTGAAACCTATTAGTGGTGAGACTCTGAAACCCATTAGTGGTGGAGCTTGAAAAAAGGCTCTGACCCTCATTAATGTTGAAGCTTGAAGTAAGGCTCTGAAACTCTTAGGTCATGCCCTGAAGCTGAAACTCTGGCTCCTGCTGTCAGGGTGTCAAAAGTTTACATCATCACCACTGTAGTTGAAACGTTTGTTGCTGTTTCATGACTTTTCTTTTATTATTTATTATTGTTTTATTCTTTATGTTTCAAAGTATTTTCTTTTTATGAGCATAGACGATGTTACAAGTTTATTTCACGTTGTCTTATGTCTAATTTATTCCTACAATCATAATGTCCTCCAGATTCTGATTAATCTTTGTGTGCTGAGCTTTAGTCACTCTTACGAACCCCCTCACACACACTGTACCAGGAAAATATTACTTTATTTTCCGGTCATTATTTGGTAAATTTTGTCATACATTGTAGTGTGTTATCAGTGTTTGTCTCTCATTAATTATTATGGTATTTATTTATAAGAAGAGTTACCAGTTGTTATTATTACCAACTTTTGTTTTTGTAAAGGTTTGGTCAGTTGTTTTCATTGTTATCATTCTTGTGTACTTGATCATTATGTATTTGCTCAAGTTTCACCAACTTATTTTATCACGTATGAATGTTTTTACCTCATTGTCGATAAGTCGTCTTCATCCAGCAATTTGTTTGGTATACTTAAAATACTTCTTAAAATCACAAGTAAATCAATTCAGAGTGAACATCATAAAGAGGAAGGTAAAGGATATTTATCTTAAACATATTTGTAAGCAAAACATTTTAATAATAAATATATTCAGTTTGTACAATATATACAGTATGGTATTAAAGCTTGGAAATAATATAATAAGGCACTGGAGTACACGGGTGTGTCGAGGATGAGGCGGAGTTTATCTTCTCATGATGTCGGCGATGGAGAAGCCGAGTCTCTTGGGAGGTGGCACTACAACAGGCAGCTCCTCGTCCTCCTCTGTCACTGTTTGCATCACGTCGTCTTCTACCACGTCGTCATCGTCACAGTGAAGCACGTCAACCACTTCGTCAGTATCATGGGAGTCACAGGTAGGTAGGGCGGGAGATATACGTGGTGAAGGGGGTGTGAGGATGGGCGTGGGCGGGGTGGAGTCGTGGGCGTGCTGGGCCTTGTGGACGGCCAGGGTGCGCGCCTGACAGAACCCCTTGCCACACACCTCACACTTGAAGGGCTTCTCCTTGCTGTGGATGTACTTGTGGTCGCGGAGGTGGTCTTGTCTCCTGAAGGCCTTGCCGCAGATGTCGCAGGGGAAGGGCCGCTCGTCCGTGTGTGTTCTCTCGTGGATCAGCAGGTTGTAGCTCTTGGTAAACTCCCGTTGACAATACTTGCAGATGTAGCGCTTCTTGGGTCGGCTGAGGCGGCCTCCAGGAGTCAACAGGAGACGGTTGAGGGCCAGGTCGCCAGCACCCAGAGCCGCCCACGGCAGCTGACCCAGAGAATGGTAATTGTGCAGCATCCCCATCACCCTGGGGTCCACCCCTAGAGGGGGCATCGGCTGCTTAACACTGCCACCGCTCACTGACGGCAGGAATAGAGGGAAGGCAGGAGGCACTCGAGACAATGGTGTGAAGGCAGAACCCAGAGCACCTGGTGTGAAATTGGCACCAACGCCTGACACGTTTGGAGGAGACGCTACCATGGTTAAGCTCTCGACCGTCACCAAATGGATAATGTAATACTACAGTGGTCGCTCCAGAATTTATACCAAGGAGAAGCGCCGGGGGCAGAGGGGCCGACCATTGGCTGCTGAATAGCAGCGGGGAGCTTGCGCTACTGGTTGTAGAGTGAGGGAAGGTGGAGCTTCATGAACCGAAGGTTCTGATTGGTCGAGAGCGATTTAGGAGGCGGAGTGGAAGTCGAGCGGTGGGCCAGGGGCGTGTCAGGTGAGCCAGAGACGCTCTCTCCATGGTTACCAACGCCCAGCCTGTGGTCTGTGTGCGGTCTGACTAATGCTCATTTACTCACTCTTTACTGAGCTCTGCTGTCACAGTTCTCCTTGTAGTATTTATTATTGTGTATTGCATGAGACTGGCTCTTCATATTTAATATCTGAGCCTCCCACAGCGTCACAACCTTTTCACTTGAGTCCTCCCCAACACTGTGATTGAGCTTGATATCAGTGACGGCGGCGCACGAAGTTCAGAGATGGTCAGATAAGACCATGATCCTCTCTCTCCTGGTGCACTATTTCCCTTCCCTGCTACAGTTGTCTCCTTTCCCCTCTTCAAGTTACACTCCTTTTCCCTCCCTGTCACTTTCCTCCGTCGATGAACACCCGTCACACACACACACACACACACTCACACACTCACACAATATTCAGGTGAGCCAGGATGCCAAAATGATAACTCAACAGTGCGGCGGGACGTTTGCTATCTTCAACCCGATAACTTATCCCATCACATCCAACGACACCCACCTCACACACACACACACACACACACCCTCACCAAGCACACACAGAGACAGACAGACACACACACACACACACAGACAGACAGACAGACACACTCACACAGACAGACACACACACACACACACACACACACACACACACACACACACACACACACACACACACACCACACACACACACACACACACACACACACACACACACAGACAGACAGACAGACAGACAGACACACCCACACAGACAGACACACACACACACACAGACACACACACACACCACAGACAGACACACACACACCCACACAGACACACACACACACACCACACAGACAGACACACACACACACACACACAGACAGACACACTCACACACAGACAGACACAGACACAGACAGACACACCACACAGACAGACAGACACACACACACACACACAGACACACACACACACACCAGACACACACACACACACACACACACACACACACACACAGAGACACACACACACACACACTCAGACAGACACACACACACACACACACACACACACACACACACACACACCTGCTTATCTCAGTTTCCCTCGTTGTTGGCTGACTTTATCCTCGCTATATTCTCTCGAAAGCTGTCGTAATATAGAGCATTCTTCAACATATCCTGTCCAATCGACATAAATTGGTTATTTTATGTTTAATTCTACTCGTTAGCGTAATAAATGTGTTATTTTTTTATGTCACTGAAGGAAGGACATAAGTACTACTTGTCTTAGTTATCGTGTGACTGACAGAAGCAGGAAAAATGAATTGAGGTTTTTTTTTTCACTGAATGAGAAATTATGTTGATTTTTATCTTACAAATGTAGTCAATATTATTATTTTTTTTTTACGAGTCACGAATTACAGCTTAAGTTTTATTTATTTGTATAGCATGGCTTATATACACATGATCTCCAAGACACATGACCTCCAGGATACATGACCTCCAGGATACATGACCTCCAGGATACATGACCTCCAGGACTCATGACCTCCAGCACACATGATCTCCAGCACACATGACCTCCAGGATACATGATCTCCAGCACACATGACCTCCAGGATACATGACCTCCAGGATACATGACCTCCAGGACGCATGACCTCCAGGACACATGACCTCCAGGACACATGACCTCCAGGACACATGACCACCAGGCCACATGACCTCCAAGACAGATGACCTTTCGACATAATAAGACCTCCACAGGCACAGACAGACACTTAGTTGACACCTGAATGGAGCTACGTCTGTCCTCTTAACTATAATACAGTACAGCCTCGTGGCCAGATCTTGTTCTTATTTTATTTTATTTCATTTTTTGACTGCTGGGAGAATGATGACCTACGCTTAACGTCAGAGTAGAATGAGGACCTACGCGTGAGGTCAGAGTCGAATGGGGATCTACGAGTGACGTCAGAGTATAGAATGAGGATCTACGAGTGGCGTCAGAGTATAGAATGAGGATCTACGAGTGACGTCAGAGTATAGAATGAGGATCTACGAGTGACGTCAGAGTATAGAATGAGGATCTACGAGTGACGTCAGAGTATAGAATGAGGATCTACGAGTGACGTCAGAGTAGATTGAGTACCTATGAGTGAACGTCAGAGTAGAATGAGTACCTATGAGTGACGTCAGAGTAGAATGAGTACCTATGAGTGACGTCAGAGTAGATTGAGTACCTATGAGTGACGTCAGAGTAGATTGAGTACCTATGAGTGAACGTCAGAGTAGAATGAGTACCTATGAGTGAACGTCAGAATGGTGTTCCATGGTTTTGTGTCACCACTTTTGAGACGACGTGAAATTTCTGACAGATGGCAACACTAATATTGTTTATCACTGTAGCTTAGTTATGTAATCGGGACAATTTCTGAGGAGTTATGTAGAGCACCTTGGACATCTTTACTTAGGACATACACACACACTTCTAAAACATAGATTATACCGCGGAAATGTTACCATGGCTACGTGCTCAGGACATACACTCATTGGTTGTTTACAATGGGTACTTAACACCAGGACATAAATGATGCCTTGGACACGCATGCACTGTATATAACGGAGTATTCTTAATGCATGTCCTTTACCTGAATCTCTCTCTCTCTCTCTCTCTCTCTCTCTCTCTCTCTCTCTCTCTCTCTCTCTCAATAACAGGGTTCTGGACAGTGATAATTCTTGAATACCTAAGTCCATTTCTATTATGATTACGACATCCCGAGGGTTAAAAGTTACATTGTTATCGAGGCCCTAATTCTGGAGTCCGGTTATCAAAGTTTTCACGTTGTAAGAGTTGCAGCCAAAGGAAATCACTGAAGGTCATAATTTTCTTCGTTGTACATTATTCTTTTATTGTTAACATTCTCACAGTTCTAAGGTATTTTCGTTATACGTCTACTAGAGTTATAGATCTCGGTGGTTCTAGATTATAGGGTGTTTTGTGATTATTGACGATTATGTTACTAGTTCTGGAGTGTCTTAAGTTAATTGTAAAAAGCATCTAGAGTCGAAATTAAGTGAGTTATAAATGATTTTTTTAAAGGTACGTTATATTTAAGACATATGTGAACTATATAGTATTGCCGCTGTACTTTTTTTTCTGTTGGTGGGATACAAATGATCTTTGGTGTGTGTGTGTGTGTGTGTGTGTGTGTGTGTGTGTGTGTGTGTGTGTGTGTGTGTGTGTGTGATAGTTTTTTCTTTCAACTAGCAGTCAGACATGGAGAGTTGATTTTGTATTTTGACGTGTATGGGCAGGGTGAAACTATAGGCAAATTTCTTTACGCCATTTGCCTCTGTCTACCCAGCAGTAATTGGGGACCTGGATGTTAATCGGGGTAATTGTTAGCCAGTGCAGTTGGCGAGTTGTCCGATCTTCTTTAATTATTCCTTGACAATGGGTCTTACAACTCGTTAACTTAGGGTGTGGTTGTTGTGTTGGCGACAACTGAGGTAGTAGGTAGTAGGCAGCTACCGTACAGGGAGGTACTACCGCCTGGGAAGATATTGGAAGCATAATGTGTTGTCTAATGGTAGACCCTGCTGCCATATGGCATCACGAAAATTGTGACCAAGTCCCAGGTTGCTGGTCTGACTTTCTGCCTCATTTACACACAATTGCAGGGTCTCAATTGTTTCTATTACATGACAAAACAACATACATATAACGTTTCTCACTGTTGATTTTTTTTCATTCTTGCATTTCTTTGTATTTATTATTATCACAGTGTTGTTATTATTATTATTACCATTAATATTTTATTTTAATTTTTATTATAAATTTTATTTACTATGAATTATTATTATTATTACATTTTCGCCCCCCAGGCCCTGATGTGGGTCAGTGACCTGTGCCCGGGTGGGGTAATACCCGTAAAAAAAAAAAAAACTTCTACACCTTAAACAAAATATATGAAGTGTCAGTGTAGAATTTGTGGTGTTGTTGATGGTATTCTTGGGCGAGGGAGAGTATTAACTACCTAACAGCAGTGACTCGTGTCCATCTCTTGGTTGTTTGTATATGTGGCTGATGTGGAAAACTCCGTAAGAAATAATATCAATATTAATTTCCCCCTTTTTTTTACCGAGAATTGGGCACAAGTACTACCAGGCGCCAGATCAAGATGCATACATAACAGTGGCATAGGAAGACAAATCAATCATTTCAAAATATTTCATACCGACAAATTCTTTAGAAACAACTGATGAGTAGATAATGGAGATAAAACTTTTAACAGTAAGTTGGTGAAAATATCTCAGACTGTATACAATCTCATGACTCATATTTACAACACGGAGAGTCTTTGTGTACAGTACAGGTTGAGCTATGGTGTATCAGCAGGTGTGACTGTGACTCGGTGGACAGCTGTGTGATATAGTGACGGTCTCAGCGTGTATCCAACAGCATCACTGAGTAAACCTAAAAGGGTCAAATGAACTGAAGGCGACCAAATTTGGGTAGTTTTATTATGTTGACTAGCATGTTCCCGATTTTATTGATAAACTGATATTCTTTAGTTTCATCAACTAGTTAAATTATATCTTTTTAACCAGGCAAGGTGGCGACTGTACATCTGTCTGCGAGAAAGTGTGTGATGTAGTGTATGTCATCTGTAGAATAATTTCACATAGTAAGATTATCACAGGTGTCAAAATACCAACCCAAGAACTATAAATCGAACCATATACAAGTCTTGATTCATGTACA